TAGACAGCAACGCAACTGAAATGTTCCCAAGTCCAGAAACGTAGCAAGGAGATCTGTAAAATAATCCATGTGACATCAGTGGTTCATCTGCAATTATACGAAGCTACGAGAATACTTTTTCAGTTGTGTTGCTGTCTATGTAGGGTCAGACAGCTCTCAGATTCCATCAAAAATATCTTAATTTGTGTTCCGAAGATGAACGTAGGTCTCACGGGTTTGAAACGACATGAGGGTGAGTAATTAATGACAGAATTTTCATTTTTGGGTTTACTAACCCTTTAAGCGCCATATTCCCACTATATCACTATATGAGTCATAAAAGCCAGATGTATCAAATATTATACTAAAAGAATTACAATAAAAAAATTAATTTAATTTAATTTTAAAAAAATTGTCTAGGCTAAATGTTCAATGAACTCAAACATTTAGTTATGTACAATGGTGTGCTCAAACAATGCCTGGTCCACTGAGAAATAGAAAAGCAACATGAACCTATTAAAGTAAAATAATCGTAACTGAATATTTTGTCTAACTTTACTCAAAGAGTTATGTGTGAAGAACTTAACGTGGTGGTTGAAGCACAAAATGTGACTTTCTGTGTCTTTGAACAGCTTAAGATTCAAAAGCAATTAGTCAGCAAGTCAAACGATAACTTTTTGTTTTCACTGTTTGTTTTCTTTGTAGCATCTTTTATGATAACCACACCAAACCAATGAGCCCAAAACACCCACTAGTTCCAGTATCTATCTAAATAACCCAGATTCAGCACTACAATCATTTCACCTCTGTGTGAGGTGAGCAGCAGACTCCTGCCCAGAGTGGTTAAATGTGGGCTGTATTGCTCAGCATCCAGCAGAACTGGCACTTTCACAGTGTGGTCCTTTCAAAAAATGCAGTAAATAGATGGAAACACACATTTCGTGCCAGGTATAGAAAAATCTGACAGTTTCCCATCTGACTATATGCTTTAATCATGAAGTGCAGAGTCAAGAGTGATCTAATCGTTATGTCTTACTATGGTAATTTACCAACCCACACACTAACTACATGATTCATCTGTCTACCCGATTCACCCCATCTACACAAACAAGGGGAGATACCAACACGCACTCTGGAAATCACCAGGTACCAAGAAGTGAGTAACATAAGTAAGCAACATATTCAGCAAATATTAAAACCTCAGAGTCAATCTTCAGTGTATTTAGTAAATTGAGAGTAGAGGTCTGCTACATACCTGTGATTGACAGAACTCAGTTCTCAAAAAAATCAGTTTTGAGCCAGGCTAAAGTGTTTTTCCATGTATAACTTTGGGTTTATGTCAAATGGGGATTATAATTAATAAAAAGCATGAAATAATAAATATTTAGCTTAAAAATGTAACTTAATTTCTTTTTGTATTTACACACACACAGCATCTTTGAGTCAAAGCCTGTGAGAATGCGCATCAGGGACCAGCATAACTCTAAATATACACTAAATATTTACAGAAGTCTCTGACCAGGAGTAATGGTTGGAATAAAAAGCTGCATCAATAAGCTCATTTAACCTGACTAACTTCGGTCCTTTAGACATATACAGTATGACCATGTGGACATTTACACTTGTTTACATTTTACTTTGTTTGCAGCTCTTGAACACGAACCCAACCTAAACAACTCGCCTCTGTGTGCATCAGTCCGTGTTGTGTATGTCAATAAAATCAACCATAATAATAAATGCCATTTTTGTTTTTTTTGTATTAGTGTGTGTGTGTCACTATTTACTTATTTATCCTTATTCATTTCAAAACAGTTACTGTTATTATATAAAAATACCTATTATGTTATGCATGATTAAGTAGTATTGTATTTTAATAGAAACATAAGAATAAATACAGAGTTCTGGCATGAAACTCTAGATGGCGCAGTCCGATAGGTCTAAATCAATCTGACCTAATGACAACATTATCACATGGCACAGCTGATTGGTACTCTCCTCTATCGGTAGCCAATAAGCTCGCTGCGCTCACAGCAGCATGTTGTGGATGTATTGGCAGTAGCAAGTCTCGGTACTTGCTCTGCTGCAGCAGCAGCATAGCAGATCCGTTCCGCCAAGACCAAATACATTAACATTGTCATGTACATTACCATGCCAATCCCTCCGAGAGTTGTCATGACAGAACTAACGGTATAAATAAGAATAAATATGTTAGAACCAAGAATAAACTGAAATTCACAGCATTTCAACTTCTGCTTACGTATTTGAAAGAAGCTATTGGATCATTTAGGGTAAAACGTCATATTATGCGATTATGCATTACTTTACAGAGAGCTTAATGCCTACTAGCTATTAGGCTTGCCGCGATAGACGGTGTTGACGGTTATACCGGTGTTAAGCCGCAACACCGGTTAC